GCCCTTTTGTTTCGTACGGGCTACTACCCATTCTTCTCGTACTCCTGCAATCTTTGCTAATTTAACTCGGAAAGGTTGAGTTTTAACTGACCTTGAATAAATTCGATTTTCCAAAGCCCTTTCTATATGTAGCAAATTTGTGTACTCTTCAATAATAGGAACCAAATCCTCCTTATTAAAAGTGAAGCAATTATAACCAGGATTCCAGAATTGAATTAGGGCTCGAAGCAAGTTATCATCAACTTCGACATAGAGAAAATATATGATGTCCCATAAGACTGGTAGAACTGTAGCTTTCTATTTGAATCTCAACTCTCCCAAATGCCTTGCAAATCTTGCATATCATTTCTTTTTAGAGAAACTGGAGCATAACTTGCTAACTCGGGTACATAATCATCCTGCAGACTGTCTCCTCTTTGTCTTTGTAAGTCCTTAGACCACTGTCTTACTTCTGAGTTTGGAACTATTTGATTTGAACACTTTTTATCCATAGATGAAGATTTTCCAATGAGACGATTAACTCGAAGTTAAATACCTTTAATCCTTTATGATGATATGCAAACAAAAATAAAAGAACACACAAAAAGAAATGAATTAGTTCACATAATAAAGGAAAATTTTAATTTAATAATAATGTCTACCCAAATATTTCTATTTTAAACATGCTTTCTACATAGTAAATAATTTAAATTCATATGCAATTTATTTAGCAAGAAAATAAATAAATTAATTAATTAAAAGGAAAAAAATAGAAGTTATTTCTCATTTGTGTACACCTATTTTGGACAAAATTTCGGCATGGCTTCAGATCGGAAGAGTTTCTCAGGTTTACTATATGCAGAGTTTCAGTTCTAAGAGTAAAGGTACCCAAATTGTCCTTGTTAGTGCCCCCTTGGGCTGCTAACCCTCAATCCTAGTCCATCACAGACTAAAGTGGATCGAGTTTAATTCGAGGGGATACACTTCTCTATGCCTGACACGGAGAATAAATTCTCACGAAGACATAGAGCATATGAATCCCGAAAGCTACTTGCTAGGTCTGACACAGAGAATAAATTCTCACAAAGACGTCGCTTTCACTCCCACTTAAAAGGGACAAGCTTAATTATAAAGCTTATGTTATGCAATGCAAGTGATGTGTGTGAGGAGAAATGTTCAAACCTCTGACAAACAAATAGATAATAAAATTTAATACTTGAAAATAAAATAAAAGCATTAAAAAAATGATATATATATATATATATAAATTTTTGAAAAGAAAGAATTATAAATTAAATATATAAATTTTTAATTTCTAATTTATAGAGACAATTTATAATTCATTTAAAAGCTTGACCATGTCCCTAGCGGAGTCGCCAAGCTGTCGTAACCGGTTTTCGTCTGGGTACAAAATTTTTACTTGGCGGGAAAAATAATGTAAGTAAATGTTTTTATTGAAATGTTTTGGGAGTCGCCATCGACCTTTTGGGTCAGGTAGGTCGAATACCTAAAAATCATCTTTTAAAAGAGTTTTTAAGAAAACATCAATTAAAAGATAAACTGGTATGCGTATAACCAAAAATTTTAGTAAAAAAAGATTCGTGGTCAATTACGTTTAGGGAAGGATTATTGGTACTTATTAATTATAAATTGTCTCTATTATTTAGAAATTTAAGAATTCAAAGATATATTTAATTCATAATCCTGTTATTTCAAGTTCATTAGTATAATTTTAAGAAAAAATATTAATATATATATAAATAAGATATTTATTTATTTAGAAATATCAGAAAAGGGCTTCTAGGTGCTTTAAGACAGCTCTTTTCTTAATATAAAAAAATAAATAAATATTAAAACATTTATCTAAAAATAATTAAAAAAATATATTAATATATATAATTCATTAAAAATAATATATTTATTTATTTAAAAATATTAGAAAATGGACATCTAGTTGCTTTAAGACTGCCCTTTCTTAATATTGAAAAATAAATATATATTTAAAAATATGATTTTTCTTAAAAGTCAATTTTAAATTTATAGATAGGATTTTAATAGAAAACAAAATAAAAAATATTATTTATTATATATATTTATAATAATAATAATAATTAAATATATTGAAAATAAACATATAAAATTATAACTAAACAGTGACTAAAATAAATAAATTTAAAACTATATATTTAAAATATAAAAGCAATAAAACTTGTAATTAAAAATAAATGAAAATAAAATTAATGACTAAATTATAACATACTAAAATTAAATACCTAATTCATAATTAATTATTTAAAATTACAGGGATTAAACATGCTATTTTTCATTTATTTAATTTAGGGACTAAAATAAAATTATATCAAATTCGTACATCAAATTAAAACAAATTAAAACATGCTATTCGAGTTTAAAATATTAATTAATAAAATTATAAGGGCTAAATCGGTTATTTGCCTAAAATATATATATTTACTATAAAGGACTAAATTATTATAAATTAAAATTAGAATACCAAATTATAATAAATAAAAAACATGCTATAAAGATCAAATTGTAAGTTTTTAAAGTTACAGTGGCAGCAGGAATAGTTTAGCCATGCGTGAAATTACACAAAGGCCCTCACCAAAACTACGTCGTTTTGGTGAGGGTATTTAAACCCTATTATAGTATGCCCTAAGGGTCATTTTCTCATTTGTTCTTTCCTCTTCTCTCTCTAGCTGAGAGAGAAAATTTTTTCTCTGCCTTCTCTCTAAAACATCCGGTCGGCCACCGCACTCCGTTGCCGACCACCACCGCCGACCACCACATACAGTGGCCGGAAATTATATATTTTACCCAAATTAAAGCCCCTATTTTTCTAAAGCTAAATCTGAGGTTATCTTAACCTGAAAATCTACAAAACATCATAGATCTAGCATTTTTACCTTCGACCTTTCGATGTTACGGTGGTGTATGGTGGTTCTGACGACGATGTTAGTCTTTTTGGTAAGTCTCTTTTCCTTCTCGACTTTCTTCCTTCGTTTTGGTTTTTATCCTCCTCGTGGTTGCTTGCTGTCGATTGTGGTTCCCCGATCTTGCCCGTGTTTTTTTTGCAGGTGCAATGAGGCTTTTATAGCCTCGACGAGATGCTCCTCAGACCGGTCACAAGAGTGGAGTCCGGTGAGTCACCAAACCTACGGTGGTGACTCACCGAAGAAAGGCGACATGTGCGGCTGGAATGGCTATTCTGGATGCTTCGACGGGGCATCGTGGCAGCATCAGAGCGACGAGGAGGGGCGGTTATGTGGTAGCTAAGGAGGCAACGTCGCGTGGTCCCTAGGGTATCATAACCCTAGGGTTCTTTCTGGCTCATCAGGGGCCGTTAGATCTCTCCAGATCTAACGGCAGGTGTGGCTGATGGCTGGGATGTAAACCCTAATTGGGATTAGAGTTACACATTTGGGTTGGCTCAGGGTGGGCTTGTAACTGGGTCTGATTAGGCTTCATTTATAATTTGGGCTCCGGGTTATGTAATTTGGGCCTTTAATATAATAAAATTAATAATAATAATAATAATATTAATTTATTAATAATAAAAAAATAATAATCAAATGGAAAAAAACTAGTGTCTTCGGTATGCACAGAATGTCCTTTATGATCACGATGACAAGAGAATCCCACACATAAGGCTGTTTGCCGCAGAGAATATTCCCTCCTTGCAAGAGTTGACTTTCCATTACAACTACATGGTTGACCAGGTTCACGACGTGAATGGTAACTGTTTGAATAGTTTAATGATCATTTTGTAATATTTTGAAAACCACTGTCAAAAATATTATTTTTATATAATTCAATAACCTTTAGTGTATTTTACACAAATTTTGAATGGATGCAATTGAACACGTTAGTACTTTTAGGGTTAAGTACACATATGGTCACTAATTATGTTGAAATGATTTTTTGACCATTAAAGTTACAGAAGTTGTAAAATGATCATTAATTTTGTGATAACTTGATTTTTCTATTCAATTTTGTCTATCTAATTTATCTCAAAACCGCTAATAGTTGTGCATAGGGATGAGAATGAGACCTGAATCTGACGGTTTCTGACTCGATCCGATCGCGTCGGGCTTTTTAAAAATATTCGGGTTTGGGTGGGGTCGGATTTTTTTAACGGTGGTATTCGGGTCGTATTCGGGTTTAAGGTGAAAAAATATCTGACCCGATCCGAAAAATAATTTTACCTTATATATTTTAGAATAATTACAATAATACCCCTATGTATATTAATTTTTTCAATTAAATCACTATTTTTATTGAATAAAAATAATATTTTTTATTATTCGGGTCGAGTCGGGTTCAGATTTTATCTCAAAAAATTTGATCTGGTGAAGGGTATATATTATGCGGGTCAAGTCGAATTTCGAGTGGAGAAATCATTGTTCTGGGTCAGACAAAAAATTCGACCAAACCAATCCCATGCCCATCCCTAGTTATGCATGATTCCAACAAAACTACCAACAACTACATATAACTCACCACAGAAGGCAACTTTAATAAAACCATTTTTATCTAGAGATCACTTTATGAAACATTTCATATTATGATTATTTCTTAATATTAATTTTTTACACAATATTTTATCTAGCAAGATTCATATATATAGCTTATCCAAAAAAAATTCATATATATAAAAAATAAAATAAATATTTTTTTAAAAAATGTCAACCACACTCACCACAGTGGTGCATGACCCATGATGCAAGGAAAAGAGGAACGAGTATTTGGTTGGTGGAAGTTTAATGTTAGCCTCTCAGGTGATGACGTGGCCTCTACACTCTCCTTCAGGCTTCACCTGACTTTGCACCTAATCCCGTGGGGCACACGAAACACCCGCCTTGGAGATCCGAAAACCCGATCCGAAATACTATTTTACTTAATTATCTCTTATCTCTCTTCTAAGAATATCCGAATATATTGGATATAATAGTACTTTCATATCTGGACCAAGCTCCTTTTTCTCTCTTTTATATATCAATCCAGAAGGCATCAAAGCCTAGGCAAAGATTCTATTTCGAGAGCACTGGTGATATTCGTGATCGACCAGAAACAAAATTTTAAATTAAATATGGGAAGGAAGTTCTTCGTCGGCGGAAACTGGAAATGCGTGGGTTTTTCCTTCTCATTTTTCATTTTTTTTATTTTATGGGATAATTTCTATACCTTGATCGTGATTAGTATCTCATGATCTATTTTCTGTTTGGTTCCGAGGAAAATCAATGTTAGATTTACGCTATTATTATTATTTCATTGTAATAGAATTAAGTTATTAATTTCATGCAAGATCTTCAATAGTGAACTGATGTTTAATTTGAAGCAATGAATTATTTTTTTGTAGAATGGAACTACTGAAGAAGTGAATAAGATCGTGAGTACTTTGAATGCTGGAGAGGTTCCTTCTCAGGATGTTGTTGGTAAGCTAATGGATTAATTTTTTTTTTTTGAATTGAATTTGGATGTTTGTATTTCAAATGATGGATTTAGAGTTCAAAGATAGAATATATCGTGTAATAATGTGCGTTCAAATGTAACATTCATGATTAGTTTTTCTAAGTCATGAATTTGTTGGATGACTCATTATTCAGCGGTGAATCTGAAATACTTGTGGTAATTTTGAATTTGAGGCTCATGTTTTGTACCTTTAGAAATATAATCATATCGAATTTTGATTAATCACACATTATGCAGGGGAATTCCTCCTCACATTTTATAAGAAATTCAGAACAGAAAATTCATGTTGCCAAATGTAGCGTTAAAAGGTTTATCTTTGTACTTGATTTGTTGTACTGCAGTTTCTTTTCTTTTTTCAAGGAGCCATGCCACACTGCAGTAAGCTTTCAGTATTGAAATAGTGATGGAAACCATAAAGCTATTGACAAAGTGTTGTCGATTTACCTTTTTTATTTTCTTAGAAATCTAAAAATAGAGTATGCTTCCTGTATCTACTCTATTCCTTAATTCTTTTTTCATTTTTCTTTAGGGTTAATTTAATATACAGTTACCTAGCAGTTTTTTTCCTTTACTGATTTCCTTAATAAGAATTGAATTTTGTAATTAGATCAGTAGTGTTTTGCCTCTTGTGTTGTTGTACTTGTTCTTTTCTTTGCTACAATTAGTTTCTCTTTTATTGTTATCAAAAGTCAAAAGAGATGATACAGTGGATGGCTAATTCGGAGTAATATGCTATCCTTATACAGAGGTTGTGGTTAGCCCTCCATTTCTGTTCCTTCCTTTGGTCAAAACTTCACTGAGGCCTGATTTTCATGTTGCTGCACAAAATTGTTGGGTCAAGAAAGGAGGTGCTTTCACTGGTGAGGTTAGGTACGCACTCATTTCCTTTCCACTATTAATTGCCTTTAGTCTTTCATTCAATTTTCTTTGTTGCTTAAGCAAACTTTTTGTGTCAGTTTTATGTTTCCTACAAACAAATGTGATATTGGCTGTCAAAGAAAGGATGTGTGCGTGTATATATAAATATATTTAAATGTGTATTGGTCAAATGCTTCACTTGAGTGGAATATGATACAACCATTTGTTTCCTTAAGCTAAAAATTCCTGTTTATTTCTCAGTGCCGAGATGCTTGTCAATTTGAGCGTTCCTTGGGTTATTATTGGTCATTCTGAGAGGAGACTTATTTTGAAGGAGTCAAATGAGGTAAATTGTGTTCGATCAGACTATTAATACATCTGTTATATTCCTATTGGTAATTATAGTTTGAATTTTGCTCATTTTTACCTGTGAGTTAAACTTTCAGCATTTTGTTAACTTGCAATTTTTGTTCTTTGGTTTTAGTTCGTCGCAGATAAGGTTGCTTATGCACTTTCTCAAGGCTTGAAGGTGATAGCTTGTATTGGGGAAACACTTGAGCAACGTGAAGCAGGATCCACCATGGCGGTTGTTTCTGAACAAACTAAAGCAATTGCAGGTATGCATTTTAATTCCTTCATTACATTTATAAAGCCTTTAGTGTAATTGTTTTGGTGATTATTCTATATTTACATATATATGTCAATGCATTTTAATTCCTTCATTACATTTATAAAGCCCTTAGTGTAATTGTTTTGGTGATTATTCTATATTTACATATATATGTCAAGGTAGGAGGCCCTTTTAGTTGCTCTGTGTTGCTAGCATTTTTTTAATTATTTAGATGCTATCTTTGTTCTATATCCCATACATTTTTTGCGACGATTTGTTTGAATGACTTGTTCTCACATCTTTTGTGAGAAGTCTATTTTGAACATGTAAACATTATAATATTTCATGTCTTTCTGCATTGTACTCGTTGTCATGTAAGGCTTGTTGATGCATATTTCTCTATTTTTTGTATCGGACTGCATATTTACCTAGTGTCGTATATTTTTTCTTTTCTTTTCATTTCAAAATATTGTCTGTGTATGACTGTTCCATTGATCTTCATGTGAAAGTAAGTCGTTACTCACCATGCTCTCTTAACAAATGCTGCTGCTTTTGCATCACTTAAATGAGTGCTAACTGCTACAAAATCTAAGCATATGGCTGGTTTCCTCTGTAATTCCCAATGGCAGCAAAAATATCAAACTGGACAGATGTTGTTTTGGCTTATGAGCCAGTGTGGGCCATTGGAACTGGGAAGGTTGCTACTCCAGCTCAAGCTCAGGAAGTAAGTTAGGCGTTTTTATTTTATAACCTTATCATTGTGTTTTTTATTTTCTTTTATGATTTATACAATTTATATTTGTTAGGTCATAATTTCCATTTAATTTCTAGGGATGATTATGATCGTCTTATACATGATTTTCCTTTCTGATAGGTACATTTTGAGTTGAGGAAATGGCTTCAAGCAAACGTTAGTCCTGATGTTGCCGCATCAACCCGGATTATTTATGGAGGTCTTTCACATTATCCATTTACTCTCGCCTGTAATATTTATTAGTATGTACTTTGACTTGCCTGTATCCACTTTAAAGAAGCAAGGGACAGAACTTGTCTGTAGACATGAGTTAACATGGTCAACGATCTCATTCAAAGCAAGTTGATCAAGATGCAGTGTTAAAATAACATTGTTATGATTTCAACCTTAGTTTCTTGTAGGGTGGAGAAATTGAAGCTTATCGGCTTTTAGATTAGGAGGTTTATTGGAAGAAATCACTAGAGTACCGCTTTTAGCTCCAACATCACCTCAGATTCCCATCTTGGTTCATAGGGAAATCATTAGTGGTTCATGCAACTGGCATGACTCTCTCATTATTGTTTTTTGATGGAGTAGAATATCCAAATTCAAGCTTCGTTTTCTTCCCCGTTTCTTGCCTTCGTTATGAACTGGATGCCCCATTATTTTCAGGGTCTGTTACCGCTGCAAACTGCAAGGAACTAGCCGCTCAACCGGACCTAGATGGTTTCTTGGTCGGTGGAGCTTCACTCAAGGTAAACACTATCGTTCCTTCTCCTCTCCTCTCTTTGTCGTAGTCCCTTCTGTTCTATTATGGGTTTGTTCTTATTGTTTTACGGTGTATTATCGGCAGCCGGAGTTCATTGACATTATAAAGTCCGCTGAGGTGAAGAAGAATGCCTAAGGTCTGATTTAAGAGTACTTGCAGGCGCTTTTGTTTGGGAATGCAGAAGGTAGAGGATCTGTTACGTAATAAGAGTTTCTTTTTAATGAATACCAACTTTTAAGGAAATAATAATTCATACCAGCACCTTAAACTGGATTTTTATGTACTATTATTAATCAGTATGTTTTACAATTTCCCGAGCAATGCAATTTTTACTTGAATAAGTTTTATTCCCATGATTAATCAATATGTTTTACAATATCATGCTTTGCCTAGTTAGAATAAAATAAATCAAAAGAAAAGAATGAAAAATTAATTGATAATAAAAAAAATTATTACGAAATGAAATTTCCTTTCTCTTTCTTGAGAACGAGTTATAATAACCTTAAGGATACTATCACATGTAATGTGATATTTTAAAAATGTCCAATGTGATGTATATATTTTTTATTAAAAAAAACACATTTAAATAAAACAAGGAAAAGAGCACAAGTAATAGATGGCAAGAGCTCAACCCAAAACAAACAATTCTCCTGAGCCCAATAGACTTATTGATTGGGTTTCTCTTTCGGATATCTTTTGCAATCATCGTAAATACCAAACTCATCATCTTTAGTCACTTTATCGATTCAAATTCTCGTAAAATATATTTAAAATTCATGAAATTAAACGCAAAACCATTACTATTAGGGTTTGTGGATTTTCAAAAACAAGAATAATATACTTCAAATTAGCCTCATCAAACGATTGTCGGAGGATATTGAAGCACTTGATATACATTTAAATGTATCTTCATTGATTTTAAATGAGTTTTATAAAAAATAAATACGAAAAGAAAAAGATTAGTGAAATATAAAAATTACATTATCAATCTTATCACAAATGATGACCGATAATAAGTAAAAAATCGACTAACAACAATGATTAGAGGAGTTGAGAATTTTTTATAAGAAAAAATAATCACGTTATCATGTTGTTAACAATTTAGTGATTCAATAGTTAAATTGAAATATAAACTAAAATTTAGTTCTAAAGTTTAAGACAAAATGTAATATACAACTTAAAGTTTATGGACTAGTTTTGTAGCTTACCCTAAAATAAAGAATACAAAATGTTTTAAAAAGAGAAACACGTAATCAATTTTCCCTTGCGCATAAAGCAGAGAGAGCAAGGAAAGGGGAATCGTGTTCGCGCATTGAAGAAACTAAGTGGCGATTCCAGTTCAAAATGTTCATAGTTTTTTGTTTATAATTTCTTTTTATTTTATTTCATAGCGTTGATTATTCCCTTCGCTTCGTTTGTTTGCAAATCCCTAATTTTTTTCTGTTGGTTCTGCTTATAGCCTGAGGAGTTGGTTTTATTTTTCGGGTTTTCTTGGCAATGGAAGATTCAGAAAAAAAGAGGCATCGTGAGAGGAGGGATAGGGATAGGGATAAGGAATGGCGTCGTTCCGAGAGAGAGGAGCGGTGATTCCGATAGAGAAAAGGAAAGGGACAAGGAAAAGCATCGAGAACGGCGTCGTTCTGAGAGGGAGAAGAGCAGTGATTCCGATAGAGAAAAGGAGCGGGAAAAAGAAAAGCATCGAGATCGGCGTCGTTCTGAGAGAGAGAAGAGCAGTGATTCTGATAGAGAGAAGGAGAGGGAGAAAGAAAAACACCGTGAAAGAGGGAGGGAAAGGAAAGACAGGGAACGGGAGAAAGAGAAGGAGAGGGAAAGAGCAAGGGAGAAGGAAAGGGAAAAGCGTGAAAGGGAAAGGGAAAGGGAAAGGGAAAGAGAAAGGGAAAAACAAAGGGAGAGGGAAAGAGAAAGGGAAAGAGAAAGGGAAAGAGAAAGAGAAAGAGAAAGGAAGTTAAGGAAAAGGGAGAAGCGGAGGGAGTATGACAGTGATGATAGTAAGGAGGAGAAAGATCGACATAGGAAGCGTCGAAGGAGGGAGCAGGATGATGACGATGAGGCTAATAATGATTATAAGGAGAGGGATAGCAAATCGAACAGAGGAGAAAGTCCGGTTAGGAAAATGAGCAGAGAAGAAGAGACGGAGAAGAAGGGGAAGAAAAGTAGGGAGGAGGAGATGGAAGACGGACAACTTAAATTGGATGAGGAGATGGAGAAAAGGAGGAGGAGGGTTCAAGAATGGCAAGAGTTGAGGAGGAAGAAGGAAGAGGCAGAGAGGGAAAAACGCGGGGAAGGGAATGCTGTGGAGGAGGAGGAGCCTAAGGTTGGTAAGGCTTGGACTCTCGAAGGGGAATAGGATGACGATGAAGTCGGATCTCCCGTGAAACTTGAGACATATATGGATGTGGATGATAACGATAATTCTAATCCAGATGGTAAGGAAACTGGAGATGTGATTGAAGATGGGAATTCTGAGAATGGAAAAGATAAAATGGTTGTTGACCAAAACGGGGGTAATGAGGTTGCCACGGATGAAGATGAAATCGATCCATTAGATGCGTTTATGAATTCAATGGTGTTACCTGAAGTTGAGAAGCTAAGTACAGCAGTTGATCCTCCTCCTAGTGGTAATAATGGGAATTTGAAGAATGACAAAAAGGATGGCTTGAGTAATGGTGGACTGCAGCAGCCAAAGAAAGGCTCGAACAAGGCACTTGGGAGAGTCATTCCTGGGGAAGATTCGGATTCAGAGTACGGAGATATTGAGAATGTTGAAGAGAATTTAGAAGATGAAGATGATGATGAGTTTATGAAAAGGGTAAAGAAGACAAAAGCTGAGAAACTATCGATTGTTGACCGCACAAAGATTGATTATAAGCCTTTCAGGAAAATTTTCTATATTGAAGTTAAGGAGATCTCTAGAATGACATAAAAGGAAGTGACTGCTTACAGGAAGGAATTGGAACTGAAGATACATGGAAAGGATGTGCCGAAACCAATCAAAACCTGGCATCAAACTGGACTAACAAGTAAAATATTAGAAACAATAAGGAAGCTCAATTATGAGAAGCCAATGCCAATTCAAGCTCAGGCGTTGCCCATAATTATGAGTGGTCGAGACTGCACCATTGCTTTTGTGCTACCTATGCTAAGGCATATTAAAGATCAGCCACCTGTAGTAGCTGGAGATGGACCTATTGGACTCATTATGGCACCTACAAGGGAGCTTGTCCAGCAAATTCACAGTGACATAAAGAAGTTTACCAAGGCAATGGGAATCAGATGTGTTCCTGTGTATGGAGGTTCTGGTGTTGCCCAGCAGATTAGTGAATTAAAGCGGGGAACAGAGATTGTTGTATGTACTCCAGGTAGGATGATTGATATACTTTGTACCAGAGGGGGAAAAATTAGCAATCTGCGTAGAGTGACATATTTTGTTCTGGATGAAGCTGACAGAATGTTTGATATGGGTTTTGAACCTCAAATTACTAGAATTGTTCAAAATATTCGACCTGATCGCCAAACTGTGCTATTTTCTGCCACTTTCCCTCGCCAGGTTGAGATTTTGGCTCGTAAAGTGTTGAATAAACCTGTTGAAATACATGTTGGTGGGAGAAGTGCTGTGATCAAGGATATAACTCAGTCGGTCGAGATGAGGCCATAAAGTGAAAGGTTCCTAAGATTGTTAGAACTTCTCAGTGAATGGTATGAGAAGGGGAAAATTCTGATTTTTGTCCACACCCAAGAAAAGTGTGATGCTTTGTTCAGGGACTTGCTCAAACATGGTTATCCTTGCCTGTCACTTCATGGGGCCAAGGATCAGACTGATTGGGAATCCACCATATCTGATTTTAAGAGCAACTTCTGCAATTTGTTGATTGCAACAAGTGTTGCAGCTAGGGGTTTAGATGTAAAGGAGCTCGAATTAGTGATTAATTTTGATGTTCCAAATCATTATGAAGATTATGCTCACCGTGTTGGCCGGACTGGTAAAGCTGGGCTCCGAGGATGATGCAAGATATGCACCAGATCTTGTAAAAGCTTTAGAACTCTCTGAGCAAGTTGTTCCCGATGACCTGAAAGCTCTTGCTGATGGCTTTATGGCTAAAGTAAATCAGGGACTTGAGAAGGCCCATGGAACAGGTTATGGTGGAAGTGGTTTTAAATTCAATGAAGAGGAAGATGAAAAGAGAAAAGCAGCAAAGAAAGCGCAAGCAAAAGAATACGGGCTTGAGGAAGACAAGTCAGATTCAGAAGATGAAGATGAAGGGGTGCGGAAGGCAGGTGGTGACATATCACAACAGACAGCCCTTGCTCAGATAGCTGCCATGGCTGCTGCCTCCAAAGCTAGTACTGGTTTGATGCAGAATCCTCTATCTTCTGCTCAACTGCTTCCCAATGCAGCATTGCCTATTTCTCTTCCTGGTGTACTTGGTGTGTCAATACCGGGCACTGCAGCAGTTGTTCCTGTTAGTGGGTTGCCTGGTCTTCCAAATGAAGAGGCTGCTTGAAAAGCTGCACTGCAAGCTGCTCTCAATTTACAGCATAACTTAGCGAAGATTCAAGCTGATGTTATGCCTGAACATTATGAAGCTGAGTTGGAGATTAATGAATTTCCCCAAAATGCTCGATGGAAGGTTACCCACAAGGAAACACTGGGCCTATTGGAATGGACTGGAGCTGCCATTACTACAAGGGGCCAGTATTTCCCACCTGGTCGGATCCCAGGACCAGGAGAACGAAAGCTTTACTTGTTCATTGAGGGATCTTCCGAGCTATCTGTTAAGAGAGCCAAGGCAGAACTGAAACGTGTACTGGAAGACATCTCACATCAGTCCTTACAACTTCCTGGCGGGACTCAACCAGGCAGATACCAAGTTCTGTAGATGTAAGAATTCATCCAACTTATTATATGTTAAATTCTCTTCAACAAGTTCTTTGTAGATCTGCATTGTCACTCATGGTCAAGTTTTCTCTCTTGAATGGTTTGTGAGTTGCTTTAAAGTTTAAACGTGTAGTAAGGTGATCAAATAGGATTAGAGTATGGAATCTAACAAAAAGAAAACTGTAATTGTTCTGATGTGATAGTCAAATAGGATTAAAGTATGGAACCTAACATATTTATTATAGGCAAGCTGAATTGGTCCCGACTTTATGTTCGGTACAACGAGTGAACTAGTAAACTACGCGCCCAACTCTTGCATGGATTGTTGGATTTGTGGTCGGACTTGTCTTTCAGACCCAATAATCAATCTTCCTGATGGCGATACTCTTCGTGTGAATCAAGATGCATCCTTTATGGGGTATGAAACTAACCGATATTTGTCAA